AAAAAAAAAAAAAAAAAAAAAAAAAAAAAAAAAAACCTGTCTCAAAAAACAAAAAAAGCAAAAAACAACAACAACAACAAAAAACAAAACAATATCAGCCATGAGTTCTCTCCTTTTAAAAATTTGGGACTCAAGGGATTAAGGGCACCTGGCAAAGGACCTGGGATTAGTTCTTAGCACCCACATGGCAACTCACAGCTATCTGTAACTCCAGTTCTAGGGGATATGATGCCCTCTTCTGGCCCCAGCTGGCACGAGGCACACAGGTGGCGCACAGACAAACATGCAGGCAAAACACCAGTAAGACTCAAAAACATGAAATAAAGTCTAAAACATAAACTTTAAATTTTATTTAATATTTATGATTTGTTTTTATGAATTGGGTGTAGTTTCACATGCCTTTAATTGCATAACTAGGGAAGCAGAGTTCACCGCCAGCCTGATCTACATAATGAATTTCAGGACAGCCAGAGCTACATAATGAGACCCTGTCTCAAAATAACAAAACAAGGAAACGATTCATTTTTATTATTTTTGATTATGTGTACCAGGTGTACATGAGTACAAGTGTCTGCAGAGACCAGAGGCAATGGATTCTCTGAGACTGTAGTTACAGATGGTTGTGAGCTGCCCTGTGGGTGCTGCAAACTGAACTTGAATCCTATGCAAAAGCAGCAAGTGCTCTTAACCACTGAGCTATCTCCAGTCCCCGTTTCTTTATTAACTGAGAACTTTTGCCTTTGCACTTATAGAAAATATTTTGCAGTATGGGGAGGTGGGGGTTGGTGTGTAGCTCAATGTTAAAGACATGCCATGCATGTGAAAATTCCCGAGTTTGAGCATCAGCTGTAAGAAGCAGGGGTAGCAGGGGAGGCATCTAAAAGGTCCTGCCACTTCTTGAACTATTATAATGGATCAGTTCCCTATCCTCCAGGTAAGAGGCCTTTGGCTCTCAGTATAACCAACACCACTGCTCCCAAATCCTTTAGAATCTTTCAGAATTTGGTGGCACTTGCTGGTGGTTCCAGCTCTTGGGAAGCTGAGGCAGGAGGATAAACTGAGTCTGAGCTGAAAGTCAGGTAAGATCTGACCACTCCCTGCAAAAATCACAATTCATCTTTGAGAAGCCCACAGACGGGCTCTCTTCATGTCTTACTTTCTTCAGAATGAGTGTCTCTCTGCCTTCTAGCCCTTCTGCTTAAGTCTATATTAACACACTTTCAAACTCTGAAAGAAAATAAAGGAAAAGAGTAGGAAAGCACGTTATGTTTGGTTTAGCACATCTAAATAAATTGCCAGAATGATTGCCTTGAATTTTTTTGAGTGTGTGTGTGTGTGTGTGTGTGTGTGTGTGTGTGAGAGAGAGAGAGAGAGAGAGAGAGCGAGAGAGAGAGAGAGAGAGAGAGAGCGAGAGAGAGAGAGAGAGAGAGAGAGCGAGAGAGAGAGAGAGAGAGAGAGAGAGAGAGAGAGAGAGAGTTACAGCCTTGTTGGAGAAAGTCATTGTGGAGGTGGGCTTTGAGGTCTTATATACTCAATCTATGCCCAGTGTGGCAGGAAATCTCCTGCTTCCTGAGGATCAAGACGAAGAACTCTCAGCTCCTTCTCCAGCACGTCTGCCTATGTGTCACCTGTCATGAAACTTCTGAACTGCAAGCCAGTCCCAATTAAATGTTTCCCTTTATAAGAATTGCCATGATCATGGTTTCTCTTCACAGCAAGAGAAACCTAAGCTAAGACCATAGGGTTTCTCTGTGTAACCCTGGTTGACCTGGAACTTACTTTGTTGACCAGGTTAGACACCTAGGACTATGTAGAGAAACCCTGTCTTGAAAAATAAAGGTATTTTCTATGTATGTCTTTGTGAGTTTGTGCCATGGGGTGGGGGTGCAGAAGAGGGTATCTGAATCCCTGGAGCTGAAGTTATAGGTAGTTGTGAACACACCGTCACGGGTGCTGGACACCTAGTTTGGGTCTTCTGGAAAAGCAGCAAGCACTTTAAACCACTAAATCTTCTCTCCAGCCCAGCCTTCTTGTATACCCCAGATCTTCTCTGAATCACTTGTAATAGCTAATACAATATGGAGCCTATGTGTAAACTCTATACTGCATTGCTTAGGGAAAATCAAGAAAAGAAAAATATACTTGCTTTTAGATACAATGCTTTTACTTTTTTGTTTGTTTGTTTTTGAAAGAGGGGCTCTGGTCACCCAGGCTGGCTTGAACTTAAGATCTTCCTTCCTCTGGCTCCCAGGTCCTGAGATTATAGGTCTGTGTTACCACATGTTGTTTTCTGATTGTTTTGATGTATAGTTGATCAGATCCTGGGATGTGGAGGGCTGACTGCTGCAGTGGGAAGCCTGGCCCGCCTGGCTCCATGGGCCCACATTTCTCCGAGATGCCTGCTTGCTGGCCTGATCCCAGGGGACATACTGCACTTATATTAAAAAATGATGGCTCTCAATTCACACTCACTAGACTAGTTGGTGGACATGGCTGAACCTGACAGTTTTCATTCTCCATTATTGTCATGATAGAGGCAATCTTTTCATTTTTGTTTGTTTGTTTGGGTGGTTGATTTTGGGTTTTGGTTTTTTGAGACAGGGTTTTTCTGTGTAGCTCTGGATGTCCTGGAACTCTCTCTGTAAACCAGACTGGCCTCGAACTCACTGAGATTGGCCTATCTCTGCCTCTCGAGTGCGAGGGCTAAAAGTGTGCGACGCCACCTGGCAGAGTCAATCTTCCTTATAGAAACTCTTCTTGAGCTTAGGTAGACCTCTCTTTCTAGTGAATTCCCTGTGAAGTTTCTTGCCAGCAGGTCAATAACCAACTCTTAAGTTTCTATAGCTTCAAACTTTGGACGGTTAAGGTTTATCATTTCCTTTCTGTTAAAAGGTCTCTGGATAGCCTGGTGTGGTGACTAATGTCTTTAATCCCACAGCACTTGAGGGAGGCAGAGGCAGGTGGATCTCTGTGAGTTTGAGGCCAGCCTGGTCTACAGAGTGAATTCCAGTACAGCCAGGGCTACACAGAGAAACCCTGAAACAATAAGTCATAAAGCCCTGTCTGGAAAACAAAGTAAACAAACAAAAAGTCTCTGGAAAACCAATGATAGTATTATCTATCAGTTTCCTGTGATTGTCACAACAAATGACTACATTTTGTAGTGTAAAGAGACAGAAATGTATTCTCTCACAGTTCTGGAGAGCAGACATCTGCAGTCAAATATCTTCTTGGCCTTTTGACTAATGTCATGTGAAGAAGTCCATGGCCATGCTGTGGGTAAGACCAGGCCATTAAAGCCTCCAGAAGGGAATCCTTCCTTGTCTCTTCCAGGTTTTGGTAGGTATTGGCTTGTGGTTGCATGACTCACATCTCTGCAGTCATCTTTACCTTTTAAAGGGTCTTCCCCTGACTTCCCATCTGCTGAGGCCCAGGCTTGCTTTGAAATCACCGCATGACCCAAGCTAAGAATTGGAGACAATCCTCTTCCTCTGACTCTCAAGGGCTGGTATTATAGGTATGAATCACCTCACCTACTTTAAGAGTCTTCATTAAAGACTTTCCCCAAATCAGCTCATGTCCCTAGTATTCAGGGACCAGGGTATGAAAACCTTTTGGAACTCCACTCTCCACTCAGCTCACTCATGTTATTTTATAGCTGAGGGAACTTTGGTTGACAGAGATTGGGGTACTTGCTCCAGGCAAATTAGACCACAGAGTGCTGCCCTCTGGAGAGCAAAGCAGATTTGACACCCTGAAGAGGTCTTGTCAGATACTAACCATTTCGGCTTACCTTACATTTGTAAGGGACACATCAATTTGATCACCACCAGATCAGCTTCTAGTTTCAGATGGACCTCATCAAGCATAGCATTATATTACATTACATCATTAAATTAAGATCTACTGTTCTATCCCAGAGACATTAGTTATGGGACAATCGAAACTCATGGCCTAACCAATAAATCTAACTTCAATAATGGATTCCCTGAAAAGGAACAATAGAAAAGGACTCTCTCAGGTGAGATTCTTGTTTCTTGTGTGCTTGTCACTGAATATAAGATTGGAAGATTGAGAAATGTGGAGGTAAGAGAATATAAGTCTTACACCATGCCAAATAAAAGATTTCAAATCTTGTGATGGAGCATACTTTGTCTCAATAGTTAGGAGGTAGAGACAGGAGAGTCAGGGGTTCGAGGCAAGCCCTGGCTACATAAAACCCTCTAAAAATACTGCCCCTCCCAAGGTTGCAAATCCCTTGTGAGAGGAGTCTATCAGGTTTTATGGTACTTCAGCTCAGAGATAGATCTGTGGTTGTGGAGCTGGCCTCATAGGGATTCTTCACCAACTTTACACACCGAAAAATCATCAGTATTAAAAAGAGTAACACAAGGACAACGAAGGCAATGGCAAAGCCTTTGTCCACATCGATACCATCAGATAAGCTGGAGTCTTCCATGAGGACACACACCTCTTACTGTCTTCTAGACACAGCTACCTCCTCAGGTATTTCTTCAGAGTTGTCATATTTCTAGAAAATAAGAGCAAAAACAAATTCTTTTTTATGCATGTGTGTGTGTGTGTGTTTGTATTTCCTCAGTAGCAGTGTGTGGAAAAACTAAAGGTACCAAGGGTTGAAAAACTCATTAAGATTTATTTAAGAGCCAGGCATGGTGGCACACACCCTTGATCCCAACACTCAGGAGGTAGAGTCAGATAGATCTCCATGAGTTCAAGGCCAACCCCGTCTACATAGCAAGTTGTAGGTCAGCTGGAGCTACACAGTGAGACACAATCTCAAAAACAAGATTAAAAAATCCTCAACACTCCAAATTCTGTATCCCCTCCTAGATTTTCTTCTGATTCCCAGGATACCGATTGTACATAATTTGTATAGGGTTTTTTTTTTTTTTTTGGAGGGTGGGACAGGATCTCACTGTGTAGCCCTAGTTGGCCTTGAACTCATAGAGATCCTCTTGCCTATAACTATCCCTTCTCCCCCAGACAGGGTTTCTCTGTGAAATAGTCCTGGCTGCCCTGGAACTCACTTTGTAGATGAGGCTGGCCTCAAACTCACAGAGATCTGCTTGCCTCTGTCTCCCATGTATTGGAATTAAAGGCATATACTACCACTGCCCAGTTGCCTGGCTTATTTCTATTTTTATATATGTGTATGCCATGTGTGCTTGGTGTCCGTGGAAACCAAAGGAGTAAATCGTATCCCTTGTGAATCTCGCAATCATCCAATCCAGGTGCTGGAAACCCAACTTAGTTCCCCTGAAACAGCAGCAAGTGTTCTTAGCCACTGAACCATCTCCCCAGGCCTGATTATGTTATCATGTTATCTTAACTCAATGGGTATTAACATAACATTGTCTTTGTTCTGATCACTGCTTATTATACCTACTATATCGTCATTCTAAATTCTTTGTGAAAAATCATGTACATCCAGACATCAATTTCAGTTATTAAAACTTATTTCATCAGAGCTAAACTTGATTGCTCATCAGAACTAGATGGTGAGGACCAATCACTGGAGATGCCTTAGGTTACAGGACATAGAAAAATCTGGAACTGAAATGAAAAAGTCCTCCTTGCTGCTTGTCTTTCATAATGTTGGAAGGTGCTAAGCAGACTGCTGAGGGTTGGGGGGAGTTATCAAAAAATGGCTCAGTGGTTAAGAACATTATTGCTCTTGCAAAGAAACTGGGTTTGGTTTACACCATCCGTAAGTCTAGTTCTGGGGAACCTGACTCCCTCTCCTGGAAAGTATAAACGCACTCATGGCACACATACACACAATGCAGCAAACATTTACACACATTTTTTTTTTTTTTTTGGTTTTTCGAGACAGGGTTTCTCTGTGTAGCTTTGGAGCCTATCCTGGCACTTGCTCTGTAGACCAGGCTGACCTGGAACTCACAGAGATCTGCCTGCCTCTGCCTCCTGAGTGCTGGGATTAAAGGCGTGAGCTACGGACGCCCGGCTACACACATTTTTTAAAGTTTTAAGTTTTACCCACTTATGAGATCCTATGTATGCACAACCAAAGTGCCAAGTACAGTGTGTTCACTGGTGATAGACTATTATGGGGTTAACTGAGTGCTTTCTGATTAAACTTGAGGCACATTCCAAAGGAGTGGGGTGGGGAGGGATGGAAGGGGTGAGGGAGTTATGATTTGAGCTTGGTGCTGTAAACCTGGTCAGAATCCTGTAACTATAGATGTCATCAGCCCTATCATGGAAGCTACCACTGTTGTTTTGTTAAACAGATGTGTTGTGCCCATCAAACTACTTTCTGAATATTTATGTTCATGCTCCTAGGCTGGTGCTTCTCTTAGCATTGGGAGGAGAAGGCTCATTGCAGTGGTTTGCAGTTACTGCAGAGACTCATAATTGATCTAAGTGCAAAGACTGAGTGACTGTTTAGTGACCAGCCCTAAAAGGGACACCTGTATCACCCCCTCCAAGATTCAGAGACCTTCAAAGAAAGTAGGAGCCATAGGACAGGGAGAAAGCCTGTCTTTTGAACATGGTATGACTCCAGATTGGCTGCGGCCACCTGTCCAAGGCCCAGATGAAACTGCATCTGTCAACACCATCATGGATGGAGAAGAGCCCACCTCCCTGGGGAGCTATTGGCAGTTAGTGGTTGCTAGATGAGGGGGAGACACTTCTTGCTAGTAAGTTGTCAATGTTCTGGTAAATAATTTCCACCAATACATAAGCAGCCCTAATTAAACTCAATGGGTCTCATATAACTTGCACACACATACAGATACCCAGGACATGAGTGTAGAAGGGAGACTAGATGAAGAGGTTCAGATGGCGGAGAAAAGGCACTAGAGAAGGCAACGAGTGGATATGACCAAAATATAGTATATGAATCTATGAAATATTCAAAAAAATCAATTAACTAAACTTTAAAAAGAAAAACACGTGGTCTATCGAAACAGTTTCTTGAGCTGGTGATGTAGCTCATTGGGGAGAGGCTAACACATGCCTGCAATCTCACAACTTCAGAGGTGGAGACAGGAAGATCAGGAGTTCAAAGCCATCCACCTACATAGCTATAACTTAGATGGGTGTCTAATGCATTACGATAAGTGAAGGAATTACAAAACCAAAGCCAAACCCAGAATATTGTATGATTCCAATAGCATTCTATATATATATATATATATATATATATATATATATATATATGTTTGTTTATTATATTTTTCAGACATTCTTTATATATATATATTTTTTTAAAGATTTATTATATATACACGCTGTTCTGCTTGCAGGTATGTGTGCACGCCAGAAGTGGGCACCAAACCTCATTATATAGATGATTGTAAGCCATTATATGGTCACTGGGAATTGAACTCAGGACCCCTGGAAGAGTGGCCAGTGCTCTTAACCACTGAGCCATCTCTCCAGTCTCTATTTCTTTGTATGTTGAAAACAACAGCAACAACAACAAAAGCCAATAAAAAGTTTAGAATAGAGATATCTACAGAAAGAGAGTAGAATAATCATTGCTAAGGCTGAGTTGAAGATACAGGGTTTCCTTTTGAGTTGATGAAGATATAAAATGTGATACTGACAATGATTGAATTATACAGTTTGGATGGTCAGAGTGTGTGTGTCAATTATGTATCTATGAAGTTATTTTAAAAAAACAGCCCAGCTGTTTTAAATTCTTGGTTTTATAGATGATTCAGATTTTCATAGCTCTACTGCCTCTTGAGACCCGAGCTCCTCCAGGGAAGGAACACAGAGAAAGAAGCCCAGAGAAACGAAGTGTTTCTCACTTAAAGAACTCAGATGGCTACAGTGGGTCAACAATCTGGTTGTATTCTGTTTAAATCATGTTGGTTGAGTGGAGGGTATTTCTGGGATTTTTGAGTAATGTTAATCTTCATTCTATTGTTATTAAGGACCCTTTTAAAATAGCACTGGCTAAACCAGGCAATGGTGGCACGTGCCTTTAGTGCCAGCACTTGGGAGAAAGAGGCAGGCAGATCTCTGAGTTTGAGGTCAGCCTAGTCTACAGAGCGAGTGCCAGGACAGGCTTCAAAACTACACAAGAAAACCCTGTCTGGGGGGGTGGGTGGGAAATAAAGCACTATCTAAGCAGAGGGCAATGTCTCATGCCTCTAATCTCAGCATGATAGAGGCTGATTCAGAAGTTCTGCTCCTTAGGCCTCAAAGCAAGACTGTGTCTCAAAGAGCAACACACCTCTTATCCTATCTCAGAATGGCTCATTGCTGGGTGCAGTGGCCTCGGGTACCCCTCAGTGTGGTTAGTCCTTCTGAGATATTTAATATCCTGTAAGTAGAGTTGCTCAACTGAGAGGTTGTGGAATCAGGCATATTTTCCCCCCTAGGGGTATCTCACCAGTGTTGGTACAATCCCTGCTGGCACTGATTATACCACTAGCTTCCACCTACAGATCCCTCTAGCCAAATTTGTTTGTTGACACAAGATAAACACACACTTCATACTTACTGAACCTTGATTAAAAAGGCTGGCAGGTCCTGGGGGCATGGATCAGTAGGTTAATGTGCTCATTGCGAAAGTAGGAGGACCTGAGTTCAGCTGCCCAGTGCCGGCCATGGAAAGTCAGTGGCGAGCACTGTAATCACAGTGCTGGGGAAAGGAGAAAGGCAGATCTTGGGTCCCCTGGCCAGTCTGTCTAACTGAACTGGTTGCCTCTAGGTTCAGTGAGAGACACTATCTCAAAAGCTAAGCTAGGTGGCTAGGGAGATGCTCAGTGGTTGAGAGCACTTGTTCTTGCAGAGGATCCTGCTTCCAGTCCCAGAACCCACTATAACTCCAGTTCTAGGGAATCTGAAGCCTTCTTTTGACCATGAGCACCAGGTACTTAGATGGTGCAGAGACACAGAATGTTAGCAAAACACTTATACACATAAAAGAAATCACATCTTTAAAAAATTCACACCTTTAATCTCAGCACTCGGGAGGTGCATCTCCCAGTTATAGGTCAGTCTGGTCTACAGAGTGAGTTCCAGGACAGCCAGGGCTACAAAAAGAAACCCTTTCTTGAAAAAGAAAATATCAAACAAACAAACAAACAAACAAAAATAGCCCTGGCTGACTCAGAGCTTGCTACGTAGACCAAGCAGGCCTTGAACTCTCCACATTGCTCCTGCCTCAGCCTCCCAGATGTTGGGATTACAGCCACAGGGCATTCATTGGTTTGTCTTTCTTCTTACCAATTACAGATACTCTTGCACTTTGCCTTTTTCACTTAATAATGTATCTTGGGGGTTGGAGAGATGGCTCAGTGGTTCAGAGCACTTGACTGCTTTCATAGTGGTCCTGAGTTCAATTCCCAGCAACCACATGGTGGTTCACAACCGCCTATAATGGGATCAGATTCCTTCTTCTGATGTGCATGAAGACAGAGCACTCACACACATAAGCACATGAATAAGTAGTGTATCTTGGAA